TTCCCTACAATACCAATTCTAAGCAATGTCATTTCTGGGAATAACTGACAACCTCCTGCCTGTGCTGTGTGAATTTGACAAGAAAAGCAGACTTTAAAGTACTTCCCTGTTCTAGTCGGTGTTTTACATCTTATCTATTACTGCAAGTCTTTTTCTCAACACATTTTCTTCTCCCTGAACACCAAATCCACACTTTACCCAGCTTGTCACCAACTACAGAGAAAATATACTTCTGATCGTACTGTAAGAGGGACGACTGCAATCTTACTCTGGGTGGGCTAATTTTCCATCCTCTGTTACAAAACCAGAAAATACATGAATTATAATGAAGATAACTAATATGTCTGTAATAACGTCACTAATAACTTGGTAGCATGACAGAACATCTACTACTCCTTCGTAAGATCAAGGGTCCGACTCTGGCCTTGCATTTTCAAGTTACTTGTGTGTTAATGATGATATATGCATCTCTAACACAAGAAGAGATGTCCCTATTTACAATTTCTTTTAAAGCACCAACAGTGAAAATGAACTTTCAAGTTGGACTTTTAAAGGCAGTGACTCTCTTGCAGAGCCCCGGAGATTTCAAGGTGGGGGATATCATATGTTACAGATCATAAATCAAACTGAGAATTACATATTTTCAAGATACCAAAGGATTTTTAGAAGGTTTATTCTGTAAACAGAGTGCTGCTCTGATTCTAAAAGCACCTGCTATTAATTCTCTGGATGAAAAAAAACATGAAGCAGAGCAGCTATATATATATATAAAAGCCTCATGCTGCTAAGAAAATGTTTTAACACTGCACCATCTCAGCACACTAACAGGTTACAGTAAAACAAACCTTTTATTTCTTTTAAAAGTTTTAAAAGGTAAGTGGAGAAAATTTCCTAGCCTACTCTGCCTCAGAGACTACATTCAGAATACTGGTTATTTTTATTATTCCTATTTCACCATATTGTGCTTTAATTGCATGACAGCTGTTTTGAACAGGAGCATCCATTTTGGGAACAACTAACTCAGACTGGTTGGCAAAATAAAATCTAAGCCATAGGGAAGGTAAGAAGCAAATTTTGGATATTTCAATTGGGTCTCAGGCTTTACACTTACAGCAGCCTTGCTCATCTGAGCTGTCACTGCAGTCCAGGTTGTGATCACACTTCTTGCTTTTCCCAATGCACTGCCCACTGGCACAGCGGAACTGATCGGTTAAACAAAGCACTGGAAAGAGAACACCCCACATGCCACAAGTCACTATTAAAGACTTTAAAAATTATTAAGAAAACACAACAACAAAGCATCCAACCAGGAGTACCTTGGGAGAGCTTAGGCTGTTTCTAGCTTCATTTCTTGAAGTAGCCAGTGGTACATTAAAGCCCCTCGTGCCAACAATGCAGAAGGGATTCAGTGTTCTGCTGAGGCTATTGCACAGTAGGCACCTGGTCCTTACTGCCTGCTGACAGTAAGGACTCTACAAGATAAATTTACCTTGTGCAAAGTAACTCAGAAGTTGAACACTGAGAACACAGTCACTTATCCTAGGGACATGGTTATTGCAAAATTACTATAAGAATCCCTAGGTCTAAGCGTTTACTGTAATGAAACAAGAATTAAGTTATTAAAAAGAAATCTGCCAAACCAATTGTTTAAGAAAGATAAATGTGGTTTCTCAATGCCCTTTGTGCTCTTCCTGTAATCCAGATAACTCCTTGATCATGGGACATTATATTTCACTTGACATCATGTTTTTAAACTGAAATGAAAGACAGAAGATAAAACTGGAGCTTTGCCAGTATGCTCAAAAAATAAACTACTGCTTTGGGAAAAAAGGTGCTGCAGGCAAGGTGCTGGCTGCTGTTGTTTACACATATTTTCCCCTCCTGTTTCTCATAAATCCAGAAATTCTTTTTGACTTGAGTTGAATTGAGAAGTTAAACTAAAGGCTCTTCTGATCTGTAATCGACTTGAATACTCTGAATAACAGGGCCACTTTGAAGGTGATAAACAGCCCCTGGTCTAATATCTCCAGTCAATGGATAGCAACTGGGAAGATAACATGCACAATGTATTTTCAGATGTCAGCATCTCATCTGGCTAACAATCACCTTTCATCACATAGGAACTCCTGCATCAGTCTGTGTGTTTTTGTTTGAGCAAGAGCACATTTTTTGAAAGAAATTCAGCCTTGATTCAAAGACTGCTAGTCAGCCTCTTCAAAGAAGGATAATGTCCTGAAAGGATACAGAAAAGAGGCATCCTTTCAAGCTTATAAATTGTCCCTACAACTCCTCACAACTTGCACAGTGGGAAAAGGGTGACTTTGCTCATGTTTCCCATTGTATAGTGGTGGAGTAGTTCAGGTTTCACCTGTCTTGTCCAAAATTCAAAGAACATAATTCTCATGGTGTTGGCACTAGCAGCTTCTCTCTGTAATGATAGCTTACTCTCTTTTTCTGTGCTCTATAGGAAGAAGAGGTCTCCAGAAATGTCATCTTTCTCCTTCTCTCTTACTCAAAAAAGCTTTACTTCATTTTCTTCAGGTATTACAAATAAACAATCCTGAGACCTTTACTCAGTATAAGGTACACAAGAACTATGACAAAGATTCGCTTGCTCAACTTTGCAATTCACTCAGTTACCAGGTTTTTAGAGGTTAAAACATATCTTTTCACAAACAGAGGTTAAATCCCTGTGCAGAGATCAGTGTTATTTCTGAGAAACAGAAGTACGGAGTTGCGAAATAATTTCCAATTCAATACATCAATTTAAAAACTAGCAGAATCTTGGATCCTTCCAAATCCTACTCAGCAATAAGTTTGGTATCTATCATAGTATCCTCATGACAGCTTTATTATCATCACTCTTGAAAAGATTGTCTGTACCTTCACAGTTCTTCTCATCTGAGTTGTCCTGGCAATTTGCTTCTCCATTGCACCGGAGGGCACTGTCTATGCACTGTCCACTCTCACACTGAAACTGGGTGTCTGAGCACACTGGGCAGTTCTTTTCATCGCTGTGATCTTCGCATTCAGTGAAGCCATCACAGCGCCAGGCCACTGGGATGCAGTCAATCTCACCTGTGAAACAGGTGAACTGCTGAGGGGAGCATGTTGGTGGTTCTTTAAAAATCAAGCAAACAAACAAAAATTAAAAATCAAGGTGAACAAACAGTAGGTCAGGACAGGTAAGCACAAGAAGATCTCAGCTGCTTTGATTTATCAAGCAGCTGATAAATGTGCCACATCATAAGGTAACTTCCACCCCACTGCCCCACAGTCATTCGTGCAGATCTTAAACCCCATGTGACTGATGCAGACACATAGATATAGTGGTTTTTAGACAAAACAAGAGGATGAGAGAAACATGCATACTCAAAACAATTATTCTCTTTCCTTCTCACTTCAACCTCTTACACCTTTCTGTTAAGTAGGCCTTAAAAAGTCTTCATTTAAAGCCAACACATTTTTCTACTCCCCCTTTCCTGCAACACCGTGTACACAACTGATGGTTCACTTTCTTTTCAATGTCCAACAGTCATTGCACAGAACACATTAAAAGGATGTAATGCTCTGCAGATGGACGTACTGTGACTCAGTGTCTAGTTATGTGCCCTTGACAGCTCTGTTTAGTCGAAATTCCTTTAAAACAACAAAAAAACTGCTCCATCTAGTCAAGTCTCGCGATCTCAGCACAGCTGTTAGCTGTTATTTAACATTTACTACAGTAACTGTTAATCTCACGCAGTAAGTAAGTGTGGATTTTTCTCCTTTTTTTTTAATCCCCCTTTCTCCCCCCCCCAGCTTTTGGCTTGGTATTAAAACTTGCTCTGAGAAAATATCTGGATTATGTTAGCTCTTGTTCCATTGTGAGACCACACGTCGCCTTGATGGCGAGAAGATTGCATAATAAATCCATTCAGTACGGTAGCACAGAGAGACCCAAGCACCAAAGTGCCTCTCTTCTCCCCCATTTCAACCCCACCCTTGGAGACACCAAGGCGTAGGCCACAGTGGCCATATCGCCACAGAGGAGGCAACTTGCCCTTCTGGGACTGCAGTTCAGAAAGACATGCACAGGGTGTGTTTGAGGAGGAAAGCAGAAAAGAATAAAACAGCACAAACATGGTGCAATATGCTAGAACATGAGAATCTACCACTGTTTGAAAAAGGAGAACATACAGTGATAGAAAAAAGTAATAAAAATAATCCAATTAAAAAAATATACTCAAGTTGAAATAATTCAGCAGTCTTAAGCAGAAAAAGTGAAGATAAATCCTTATTTGAGAGTTAAATAATTAATTTTTCTTCTTCTCTTACTCTCAATACTGGCAGATTTAGCTGGATGGGAGGCAAAGAGATAAGTGTGTAAAAAAAAAGCATGCAACAGCACCTGGTGCACTGTCACATTCTCTCTGCTCAGAAGCCACCCCTAAAGATGGAAACCCCTCCCCCAAACCAGAAGTTTGAGCTCAGAAGTTAGAGCTCAGTAACACACAGCATGGGAAGGCCTTACCTCCACAGGACAGCTCATCCTGCAGCAGAACAAGGTGGACTGGGCAAGAGCAGCGCGTGGTGCCATCACCCTTTACGATGCAAATGTGTGAGCAGCCTCCGTTATCTTGAGAACAAGGATGTTGCCCTGTGATTTTAAAAATAAGACAGGTACTGACAAGAAATCCCCATCTCCTTCTTGACCTTTCAGTGATTTATTTGGGCACACAGGACCTACTTCCCCCTATCGAGATCACTACTAAAAACAACTCCAAAAAAGTTGCATTGTGTCGTGTGTGTTTTTTCCCTTTACACACATTAGTAATCATCACACACTGATCCTTGTCCATGATCTGAAATACTGAGAGTCATGCTATGGAATCTATTGAAACAGTAGAGTATTCAAAGCAGTTTGCTTCCTGTCTGAGGTAGAATTAATTCTGCAGCAAAAATAGTAGAATAATACAAAAAAAGATGTCTCGGATTCCATACTTCATTTTCTCTATCAAAGACCATTAAAAAGGTAAACTTTTCTAATTTATAAATTCTGAAGCTTCCATAGTGTCTCCAAGACTCCAATTAACATGCTCTAGATAAATGTCTCTTCATTTTAATGTTTAATAACGACAACATACGTCTCTTGGAACTCCTAACAGATTTACTGAGATTAACAGCAAACAAAACTAGTAGTAGTCTGCAGTGATGCTTTAATTAAACATCCCAAGACATTTTTCTACATATTTCTCCAAGGCATGCAACACAGCCTATTAACAAGGCCTATTTTCTCCAGGATGACTGCCGCTCCACTGCTTTAACCATTCAGCTTCCCCCATTTCAGTGTGTGGGGAAAGGCTGCATCCTGGTAACCAGAAAACTTTAAAAGGCACAGCCATGTTCAACACAAATGGTTAGTTAATACATACTTCCTTTGCAAAATGCAACACTGCTCTTCCATCATTTCCTTTCAATGTGAATTGCCACCAACAGAAATAATTCACTTCGCCTTCAAGGCAGGCAAGTCCATTGCAACATTTACTGCTAGTAAAATGTCCTGAGAACTGTGCCTGTCCACACAGGTTAAACACCTAATAGTGACTTGCTAGCATGTCGCTACCATAATTGTCTCCTAGGGATAACAGAACATTTCCACTGTGCCTATAGACACTCAAATGCCAGATGCCTCTATGGGACTACCAATCCAGTTGTCATCAGCAACAAAACACGATGCTGGGGTTGTGATAGATTTCCAGTCCACTGCCAACTGCCTAAAGGAAACAAACTTTACTGCACCCTGGTGATGTACAGACACAGACCGATACCAGCTTCTGGTCCCTGCGCTCTGCACAGCTGTTGATCAGTGACAAGGCAAAACAGGCTCATCTCTCTGCAGCCACTCCTTGCCTCAAGCCCCACAGGCATTGTCTGCACATGCAAACAGGGATTGCACTTACTGTACTCCTGAACGTTGAGCTCTTTCACAGCATGGATGTCACTGAGTTGTGCAATACGAGCTTGGACCTTTGTACGTCCTTCTCGACCAGTCATATCAATCTTTTCAATCATCTGCTGTTGCCTGTCAATCCAATACAGCCAATTTTCAAATACAGTTAGTCCCACAGGCTGCAAGATATTGGAGTCTTCCAAAACAATCCGGTTAGCACCTGCAGAAGGGATCAACTAGAATCAACTATCACAAACATTTTCCAAGCTACTCACACCAGTATTCTCCACTACTTCCACATTACCAGGTAAGCCTACTACAAAAAACACAAGCAATTCTGATACAAGACTGATGCGTTTTGCAGACAATTTTGTTTTTCCAACTTTCATTAAGATGACAGTTTTTAAGCTTCAAGTATATTTACTTGAAGTATTTATTTAAGAAGCATCTGGAGTTGGGGGCCTAGATCTCATGACCCTATCCTACCTTTTATTAATATGATGGGAACTGGTAATTCTTTTTATTCTTCTCTCCCTTTTTGGAGAGATTAACTGCTTTGTCTTGGCATACAACAGGTAATACAAAGATGGATTATTAGCTTGAGTTAGCTAATACAAGATAAAATCTAAGTGAAAGTAAAGTAGTTAGTACTTTTTACATGGATTATGAGATTAAAGTAAACCTTTTACTTCTGACTTCCTTGTATTCTTTTGTTTCAACTATATTATCTTCATTAGAGGTTTTCATGCTAAATTGGGAATTTAAATTGCTCCTTTCTTCCTAGTAAAGATTTACTTTCCTCAGTTCCTTTAGCAATCATCAGTAGCAGCCAAGAGGCTTTTTAGCCTTACACCTCTGAAGATTATTTCTTGACATTTATCCTAGATTACCCAGCATAAAATATAGTCACGAGAAACTGCCACACTTCATGGTTAACATTCCAGATCAATAGAAGACAGCCCACAGCTGTTTTAAAGGTATCATTGAAGACTGTCCAAAGACAGTAAAGACTTCGTAACTCATACACAGAAGGAAACAATGTTTATCAAAACCTGACAGCTCAAGAGTGAGGTTTAATCCATGCTTTGTTTATTTTACATTACATTGTCATTAGCACTTGAAGATTTAGTGACATTTAACAGATTCTGAGCATAAAATAAGTCATGAAAATACAGAATCTGCTTCAATTTTGAAATGCTGAAACAATATCACATACTATAAAACTAGGCCACAGCTTAAAATTTACCTATGAATCCTAGTATTTCAGATATCTGGGCTCACTACCATGCTTATTTTTTACTTTTATTACAGAAGACAGTAGCTTTGCACATATTTATCCACAAAACAATTTTCTTTTTTTTTTTTTTAATTTAGTTGTGTAAAAATATACTAGTACAACTGAATAACAGAAACATCTTCCCATGCCCACACAAGACAATGTTATGGGACAAAAAATGCATACACTTTATGATTTTATAATTTGAGCAAGTTCTATCCCTCTGCTTTGTTTAGCAGCAAGAATATTTTTTGGCTTCTTGACAATTCAATCAACAGTATGTCAATGATGATGACTTAAAAACTAATTCAGTTATGAAAAGAGTATTTATCTCCTTTTTGCTAAATGTGGACGGAGTTCAGAATTTAAGTAACCTTTGAAACATTTAGCAAGTGGTAACACCTAAAGCAGAACACAGGAAGTCAAATGTTCTCAAATAGACTGGGCTCTTGCCCACCATTTTGGAACAGCACCAGCAATTATCTGATTAAGGAAAGACGTTGATGGATTCTGAAAGAGGCTACATGCAGACTGATGTAGGAATGAAAAGACTGAGTGATGTAAGTCAAACCAAATGATTGCAACTGTCTATTAATCCCCATGAACATGCCTCATTGTATAGGGAAAAGGTATGAAACAGCAAACGGCACCTCGAGAAGAAAAGCTAAGCTGGGAATAGAGGAAAATGCAGAGATGACAGGAAGGAACATAGTTAAAACTAAGACCTTGGCCTACCCAAATGGAGTCTGTACATGCCCTGCTCTGCCATGCCCATGTCAACTGGCAAAGCATTTTGCAGAATGCTCCCAAAGCTCTGAAGCTTAAAATATTCACTTCCTTAATGTCTTAATCTTTCTTTTTAATATTTGTGATCAAGTGTAACTATTTCTGACTAAACTGAGACACTGAAATCTCTCCTGCCATAAACCAACAATAAAATCCAAAGCTGGCTCATCAGGGTGCTAGTCCTCTTTATTAGAAATGTCAGATGAAAGGGAGATGTGATTAAGGGGAGTTTGGTCTCCTGGCATCACCATTCTCTTTCCAGCAATACCTTTTATTATAAGATTTAAAAACAAACAAACACACACAAAAATCAGGACACACCCATAGCTCATTCTATTTCCAAATAAAAATTACTTAATTCTAGAATCATTACATGTTTCCAAATCACACTAATTATTCTGGAATAGAAGAACTAATTTCCAAATAGTTTCCATGGTAGGGAGCTCATTCCAGTCATCTTTTCATAAACAACCCCTTAATCATCTGAAGAATCTGGTTAATTTCAATAGGATCTCCCATTTGGGCAGCATAACCAAGTCCTAACTGCATGTCTGAAGGACAGGGAGAAAGAGAAGGACTGCATCACATAAAAGGCATTCTATCTCTCCTTCTCTTTATGGGTACTGGCATCAGAGTAGACAGAGCAAGAGACTGTGCATGTTTTTAAGATGCTAACATGCAGAAAAATTACTCTGCTGATCAAAAAGCCTATTAATCAGCACTCCTAAGAACAGGAATGCATCTCAGCAGTTAGCAATTTATGGTGGTGATTATAGCAACCTATTTGTCATGCAAATGCCAAAAAGTGAGAGAGGTTTTGGAATGACATTTCTATATGTTCTTTGAAAATAAGAAAAACTTTTACTGCACAATATTGGTGATCCAACAGCCACATCTTAAAAAAAAAAAAAAAAAAAAGGCAAAAACCAAAAAGCAGAATCATTTTAAACAGGCTAGATTAGTTTTAGACTGCTCTGGTGCCCTAATTCCTGGTAGATAAGAGACAGAGAGAAACAAGCCACATATGTTCTGCTGCTGCCCATTACTTTACTCATGCAGGCCCTGGATCTGGGATAGCCTAGAACATACTGGGATACATCATATCAATTTTTTAAAAGAAACACTTTGCTAACTCTGCTGATGTCCTGTGTTTTAGAACAGTAAACAGTTAGGATACTGTAGTTCATCTTTTAGTGACACACCACGTTAATCATAGAAAAAAATTACTATCCTTCTGAGCCTCAAATACAGTAGTTTAGAAAAATGGAAATGTTTCCCACAACAAAAGCTTATTCTAGCAACTTTATAGAAAACTGAAAATCACACTGGTGTAATAGAATCACAGAATGGTAGGGGTTGGAAGGGACCTCTGAAGATCATCTAGTGCAACCCCCCTCCTAGAGCAGAGTCACTTAGGGCAGATTGCACCCGAACATATCCAGGCAGGTTTTTAGTATGTCCAGAGGACAAGACTCCACAACCTCCCTGGGCAGCCTGTTCCAGTGTTCTGTCACCCTCAAAGCAGCTTTTCCTCATGTTCAGATGGAACTTCTTGTGTTCCAGTTTCTACTCTTTTTCCCTCAGGCTGTCCCTGGGCACCATCAAAAGAGTGTATAAAAAGTGTGGCCCCAACTTCTTGACCCCCTACTTTTAGATATTTATACGCATTGATTATATCTCCTCTCAGACTTCTCTGGGCTAAATAGACCCAGGTCTCTTTCAGCCTCTCCTCATAAGAGAGATGCTTCAGTCCCCTAATCATCTTCATGGCCCTCCCCTAGACTCCTTCCAGTAGTTCCTTGTCTTTCTTGTTCTGGGGAGCCCAGAACTGGACAGAGATGTGGCCTCAGTAGGGCAGAGTAGAGGGGGAGAATGACCACCTTTGACGTACTGGCCACACTCTTCTTAATGCACCTCAGGATGTCACTGACCTTCTTCGCTGCAAGGACACACTGTTGGTTCATGGGCAGCCTGTTGTACACCAGTAGGTCTGCATTCTTCTTGTGCTGGGGGCTCCACAGTTGGGTGCAGTACCCCAGGTGAGGTCTCACCAGGACGGAGTAGAGGGGCAGAATCCCCTCTCTTGATCTGCTAGTCACACTTCTTTTGATGCAGCCCAGGATGCTGTTGGCCCTCTTGGCTGCAATTGCACATAGGTGGCTCATGTCCAGCTCTTTGCCCATTAGTACCCCGAGGTCTTTTTCCACAGGGCTGCTCTCTAGCATGTCTTCTCTCAGCCTGTACTGATATCTTTGGTTGCCCCAGCCCAGATGCATCACCCTGCACTTGGCCTTGTTGAACCTCATGAGGTTCACCTGGGCCCACTTCTCTAGGTTGTCAAGGTCCCTCTGGTTGGCATCCTCTCCCGCTGGCATATTGACTGCACCACCCAGCTTGGTGTCCTTGCTGAGGATGCTTTCATTGTCACTGTCAATATCATTAATGAAGATACCAAACAACGCCGGTCCCAGTAGAGAGCCCTGAGGGAAACCACTTGTCACTCTTTTCCATCTGGACATCAAGCCATCAACCACTAGCCTCTGGATGCGATCATTCAGCCAATTCCTTATCCACTGAACAGCCCACCCATCAAACCTATATCTCCTCAACATAGAGAGAAGGATGTTGTGGAGGACTGTGTCAAAGGCCTTGCAGAAGTCCAGAGAGATGACATCTGTAGGTCTTCCCTTGTTCACTGTACAGTCACTCCATTGTAGAAAGCCACTAGGTTGGTAAGGCAGGATTTGCCCCTGGTAAAGCTGTGCTGGCTCTCCTGGATCACCTCTCCATCCTCCATGTGCCTTAGCATGTCTTCTAGGAGGATCTGTTCCATGATCTTCCCAGGCACAGAGGTGAGGCTGACAGGTCGGTAATTCCCAGGGTCCTCTTTTCTACCCTTTTAAAATATGGGTGTAAAGTGTCCTTTCTTCCAGTTACTAGGGACTTCACCTGACTGCCATGACTTTTCAAATATCATGGAGAGTGGGCTGGCAACTACATCAGCCAGTTTCTTCAGGACTCCACTGTCTGTTCATCCAGCCCATACTCCCTAAGCTTACCTAAGAGGATGTTATGGGAGACACTGCCAAAAACCTTACTGAAGTCAAGGGAGACCAGCATCCACTGCTCTCCCCTCATTTACCCAGCCAGTCATGCTGTCATAGAAGGCTATCAGATTGTTCAAGCATGCTTCCCCTTAGTGAATCTACAGTAACTATTCCTGATAAACCTTTTCCTTTACATGCTTAGAGGTGACATCCAGAATGAGGTGTTCCATCACCTTTCCAGGGATGGAGGTGAGATTGACTAGCCTGTAGTTTCCTGGGTACTCCTTCTTGCCCTTTTTGAAGACTGGCATGACCTCAGGCACCTCTCCTGTTACTGGTATTACATGCTGCTACTTTGAATTAAGGTTATCATGTCACCAGTGAAAGACATTACTACAAACTATCATACTCTTGTTAAATTTCCAAACTCATACACAGATTGCAAAGTGTGTCCTTATGTCCATATGCATGTACTTATGCTTCTGATGAAGACTCAGCTTTAGTACAAGGATATGCACTATTCAAACCAGGGATGGACTTACACCAGAGGAAGGAGCAAACCTGCTACTGCTCTCCACTAGCAGCAAAGCGAGGGGAGCGTTTACCCCATCAGCCAACAGAGGTGGGTATGTGTGTGTTCAGATCATCCTGGCACTCCCATCAGCAGCATCCAGTCCAGCTTGTATCACAAGTTACTACCAAAACCACATGAGACAGCTGAGTTGATCCACCAGCTTATTGGATCCGGCTAGTAAATAAGACGTATCTCAGTCTCTCTTACTCAATTTGACTGCATGATTTTTGCATCTTCTCCTATGTCAGTTCTGGCTGTTTGCTGGACTCTTGATGAACCAATTCATCCTTCCAAATCAAGAGAACACTGCTCTCTATTTCATTTTTTCTGTATATTGTTGTTAGATTATTATTTTGTTTATGTGGTTAAGTAAGCTGAATCAACTCACAGAGGAGGTCAGACAAGCTGCATAACCAGCCTTAGGGAACAAGCAAAGAGAATTCCATAGCCAGAAGAGGGAGTTTTTTGCCTTTTAAGAACAGAGAGATGTCCAATCTGTTCTGTCCTTCTCACATAATCTCACCCTAAATGACAGGTAAATAAGTGACCTGCACACTTCCTGCTTTAACTTTGCAGGCAAGATTTTTCCACTAACAGGAAGATTTCCTCTGACTGACAGATTACTGCACCAAAACCAATGCCTTTAAAAACAATACTCTCCCTCCCCTTTCCAAAACTGCTGCAAGTTATCTGTGAACTAACTTTGGGAAACCACAGGAAGGTCTTGCAGTGAGAAACTGAAGTAAATAGCATGTGTAGCAATTAATAATGCAAATAACAGATAGAGGAATGAGACAGTAAAGGCACGCTGTATGAATCATGCACATTCCCTGGCTGGGAATTTAGGGAGCGATTAGAATCACAGTACAGACTGTTTATAGTAGGAAGGAAAAGAAGACACCTTTCTCTGCATTCCCCCACACCCACACCCCACGAATGAATCACTGAATTAAAGTGCTACTCTACCTGAAAGGTCACTGCTTTCAATTCTCCGCAGGTCTGAATCAGCCCAGAACAGCTTGCCTAGCTGGCTGTCAATAGCTAAGGCTATAGGTTTGCTCAAACCACTGAAAAAAAGGACCTCTCGTTCAGTTCCATCCAATGCTGCTCTCTCAATTTTAGGAGACCTTTCCTGTAGGTTGGTGAAATACATGTACCTGGAATAGAAATTATTAGAGGAAAAAAAGTTTATTTGAACTTTTCACATTTTTACTAGATGACCAAGACATACTAACAAATCATAGAATCATAGAATCATAGAATCATAGAATCTTAGGGGCTGGAAGGGACCTCGAGAGATCATCTAGTCCAACCCCCCTGCCAGAGCAGGGTCACCTAGAGTACATCACACAGGAACTCATCCAGGTGGGTTTGGAATGTCTCCAGTGAGGGAGACTCCACAACCTCCCTGGGCAGTCTGTTCCAGTGCTCTGTCACTCTCACAGTAAAAAAATTTTTTCGGATATTCACCTTGAACTTCCTATGCTCCAATTTACACCCATTACCCCTTGTCCTATCACTGGTCATCACCGAGAAAAGCCTAACTCCGTCCCCCTGACACTCACCCCTTACATATTTGTAAACATTGATGAGGTCACCCCTCAGTCTCCTTTTCTCCAAGCTAAAGAGACCCAGCTCCCTCAGCCTTTCCTCATAAGGGAGATGTTCCACTCCCTTAATCATCTTCGTAGCTCTGCGCTGGACTCTCTCGAGCAGTTCCCTGTCCTTTTTGAACTGAGGGGCCCAGAACTGGACACAATTCTCCAGATGTGGCCTCACCAATGCAGAATAGAGGGGGAGGAGAACCTCTCTTGACCTACTAATCACACCCTTTCTAATGCACCCCAGGATGCCATTGGCCTTCTTGGCCACAAGGGCACATTGCTGGCTCATGGTCATCCTCCTGTCTACCAGGACCCCCAGGTCTCTTTCACCTACACTACTCTCCAGCAGTTCAGCCCCCAACCTGTACTGGGACATGGTGTTGTTCTTCCCCAAATGTAAAACTCTGCACTTCCCCTTGTTGAATTTCATCATGTTTCTCCCCGCCCAGTTCTCCAACCTATCTAAGTCTCTCTGAATGGCAGCACAGCCTTCTGGTGTGTCAGCCACTCCTCCCAGCTTAGTGTCATCAGCAAACTTGCTGAGGGTACATTCTATACCCTCTATGACAAAGATGTTTTTATTCTGACAAAGAGAAAACCACCAGAAGAAGGAAAACAATTTGATTCCCAAGACCTTCAGTTTGAATTTTCCCCACATTGCTCTCTCAGCTACATACCCTTTCTCAGGATTCACCACAATGGCCCTGGGCCTATCTTGATCTCCTTTGAGCACCACTCCGATGGGTCTCCCATCCAGGCGTGTCACATTGATTACATTAGTAGCTTCGCAGGTCCAGTAGATGTAGCGGCTGTAGATGTCAATGCTCAGGTCATACGGCTGCATATCTAAATTCTGATTGGGAACTGGACTTGTCACAACAGTGAGGCTCTAGAAAGGAAGGAAAAACAACCCACAGAAGAGCATTTAATCTGATCCAATGTAAGCGACTTTATTTGCTATGAATGCACTACATCAAGCTACTGCTCAGCAAAAGGAGGCAGCCAAAATACCATCGTAAACTAAGGAGACACCCAGGTCCAGTTGCTCCAGTAACACCTTTAATCAGATACAGACATTTAGTCCTGATGTTTTGTTGTAATGGCAATCATGTTAATTTGATGCAGCTTGTAAGACCTGGTAAGTTTGAGCAGTTAAGTCCAAATTGTCTCTATGTTGAAAGTTCAGGGTCAGCCTCCACATTTCCTCTGATTTTCTGAGAACTCTTAGTTCACTTTGGACAGATGCAAACTCAGCACTCTACAACAGAAGCCTGTTACCACCAATTCCCAATACTGCAGCTGAATGGATAAAAAAGCAGGTAAAAATAGAGGCCAGAGAGTACTGTGTATCTACAATATTCATGCACAATCATTCAGTGTTGGGTGTAGGGCATGCCTCCCCTATATTTTAGAAATTCCATCACCCATGGGATACCTGACTGCCGTCTTCCTGTGCCTTCCGGATGATGTTCTGCCGGGAATCGATCCAGTACAGTTGTTTATCCAGGGGGTCATAATCGATGGCTCGAACGTTCCTGAGACTATGGATTGGAAGTATGATATCTGGACTTTGCTGCTCATCTATCACCATGCGATTAATTGCATTCTTCTGACTGAACAACAGAAAGGTTGTAGGGGCTTGAAAAAAACAAACCAACAAAACAAAGTGAAAAGGGTTACACACAGCAACAATGTTGGGTATTTGTATGTTCAATGATGGTAACAACTATATGAAACCAGAGAGAATCTATTATTTCATTTCCCTTCTCCCTCTTCCTTTGTCAAAAAATCAAAACATAAAAAATCCAACCTCTGATCAGCTTGGAAAGTCTTTCAAATGACCTTTTTACTACACATGTTTGAACATAGATGTGACAGGCAGAGGTAATTTTTTAAGTTACAAGACTAATGAATGTGAAGACTTCTGTCAAAATCACCTCAAAGAAGAGCAGGTCAGACATGCCCCTCAAGGAACTGTCAATTTCGTTTCTAAAGAGTCCCAGAGAAATGTAGCTGCACTATTTTGAAGTTGAACCTTTTCCTAGGTACACTTCTACTTGCAGAGGAAGCTGAGCAAAAGCCAGCACTGATTCCTTATTCAGAGGTCCCAGGGAAGAGAGATTGCCATTAGATAGATTCAGTCCAGTTCCCACAAACCCTTTCTGCCTACACTTCAATGGAACAACTACTAACCCACAGAAAAATCTCTTAGATGTGGGCAAGGCTGTGTTTCTGGAGAAAAATCTATTCACTCTTCTCAAATGTGTATCTTTCTTATTTCTAGGTACCCATCTGGGAATGCTAACTTGCAATTAAAAAAAAAAAAAAAAAATCTCATGTTTTGCTCCAGCTTTCCAGATGCCCAGCAAAATCTTCCTGGACAAATTATTATTTTTTTCTTATAAATACCATCACACATAAGACTTCCCCACCCCATATAGCTATAGTTTATCAGCTTTATCTTACAGCAAGCACAAAGACATTTAATACATTGTTAAAAATAAATTATCCCTGTATTACATAACTGAGTCAGAAATCAGAGGAGGTAATCAAAGCATTTTCCCTTTTCACAGTGTTCTTTTCAATAACTCTCTACCTGGAGCCACTGCTGTGCAAGACAGCACAAGAACCAGCAGCCAGAAATGCAGTTTGGAGCCTCCATGAAGTTTGTGCAATGAATATTCTATAGCACAAGTCTGGAGAGATGAGCAGTGGGACACTGCATTCATTCAATCCAGCCTGTAAAACAGGTAAGGCAGCACCTTGGAAAGGGGAGGTAGCAAAAGTCTTCCAGGGAGCCAGCTGGCTTTGTTATTTTAGGCATATGATTTGAACATTTATTCAGGTTGCTAAAAAAACCAACAACAACAAACAAAAACGGGGGAGGGGAAGAGGGGGGAGTTTCCTTGGTAACTAACACTTAATACTAACATCCTATAACAATTGGATGTAATTGCAAGGTGTATTTTCCTTCTGGAAAAACTGTATGTCCCCTCCAAGCATTTCTCCAATAATTAAGCTGCCTTCTACTTAGCTCTAAACTGTAGAAGTTAAGCACCAAAAAAAAGCAAAGCCAGGCGTATACAGAAGCATAGAATCATTTGGGTTGGAAGGGACCTTAAATACCAGATGGGTTCCAACCCATCTGCCATGGACAGGGACACCTCCCACTAGACCAGGTTGCCTTGAACACCTCCAGGAATGGGGCATCCACGACTTCTCTGGGCAACCAATGCCCCATCACTCTTCACAGTGAAGAATTTATTCCTAATGTCTAAGCTAAATCTTCCCTCTACCAGTTTAAAGACATTACCCCTTGTCCTATTACTCCACATCCTTGTAAAAACTTCCTCCCCAGATTTCCTTAAGGCCCCTTCAGGTACTGGAAAGCCACTATAAGGTGCCTCCCCTGGAGCCTTCTCTTCTCCAGGCTGAACAATCCCAACTCTCTCAGCCTGGTGCTCCAGCCCTCTGATCATCTTTGTGGCCCTCCTCTGGACTTGCTCCAAAAGCTCCATGTCCTTCCTGTGTTGGGGACTCCAGAACTGGACACAGCACTCAGGTGAGGTCTCATGAAAGCAGAGCAGAGGGGGAGAATTGCCTCCCTTGACCTGATGGCCACACTTCTTTTGATGCAGCCCAGGACATGGTTGGCTTTCTGGGCTGCAAGCACACATTGCCAGCTCATGTTGAGATTCTCATCAACCAATACCCCCAAGTCCTTCTCCTCAAGGCTGTTCTCAATCCATTCTCCACGCAGCTTGTATTTGTGCTTGGGATTGCCCCAACCCAGGTGCAAGACCTTGCACTTGGCCTTACTGAACTTCATGAAACTGGCCCAGGCCCACCTCTCAAGCCTCTCAGGGTCCTCTGGATGGCATCCCTTCCCTCCAGTGTGTCAACCACACACAGTTTGGTGTTGTCAGTAAACTTGCTGAGGGTGCTCTCCGATCCACTGTCCATGTCACCAACAAAGATGTTAAACAACACTGGTTCCAGTATCAACCCTGGAGGAATGCCACCCATCACTGGTCTCCATTTGGACTTCTTGCTGTTGACCACAACTCTTTCGGTGCAACCACTCAGCCAATTCTTTATCCACTGATTGGTCCATCTATCACATCCATATCTTTCCAATTTAGACAAGGATGTTGTGCAGGACAGCGTCAAAGGCTTTGCACAAGTCCAGGTAGATAACATCCGTTGCTCTCCCCTTGTCCACTAATGTGGTGACTCCATCATAAAAGGTGACCAAATTTGTCAGGTATGCTTTGCTCTTGGTAACGCCACTGACCACCTCCCCATTTTCCGTGTGCCTTGGCAGAACCTTCAGGAAGATCTGCTCCATAACCTTGTCAGGCACAGAGGTGAGACTGACTTGAGCTCTAGCTCCCCAGGTCTTCCTTTTTTCCCTTTTTGAAAGTGGAGGATATGTTTCCTCTTTTCCAGTCAGTGACAACATCAGACTGTTAAGACTTCTCAAATATGATGGAAAGCAGCTTTGCAACTTCATCCACCAGTTCCCTCAGGAGGCACAGATGCATCTCATCAGGTCACATGGACTTGTGTACTTTCAGGTTCTTTAGATGGTCTTGAACCTGCTCTTCTCCCTCACCAGTGAAGACAGTGGCAAAAAAAGTCATTGAGTACTTCAAGCTTCTCTGTATCCCATCTGACTAGGTCTCCTGTTTCCTTTTGGAGAGGACCCACATTTTCCCTAGTTTTCCTTTTATCACTGATGTACCTGTAGAAGTTTTTATTGTTATCCTGGATGCCCCTGGCCAGATTTAATACTGTCTGGGCTTTAGCTTTCCTAAACAGATCCCTGGCTGCTCAGACAACTACTTTGTACTCCTCCCAGGTTGCCTGTCCTTGCTTCCACCCTCTGTAGACTTTGTTTTTACATCTAAGTGTGTCCAGGAGCATCTTGCTCATTCATGCAGGCCTCCTGGCATTCTTGTCTGCTGCCTTCTTTGTTGGAATGCATTGTGCCTGGGTTTGGAGGAGGTGATCCTTGAATTATTGACCAGCTTTCTCAGGCTCCTTTCCCCTTCAGGGGTTTTATCCCATGATACCGTAACAAGCAGACCCCTGAAGAGGTCAAAGTCTGCTCTCCTGAAGTTGACAGTAGTGAGCTTGCTTTGCATCCTCCTTGTTGCCGTAAGGGTCTTGAATTCAACCATTTCATGATCCGTGCAGCCAAGGCCTGCCCTTAAGCTTCACATTGTCCATCGTCCTTGTTGGTGAGAACAAGGTGCAGCATAGAACCTTCCATGTTCCTCTACCACTTGGAGAGGCAACTGTCATCAATGCATTCCAGAAACATCCTGGGTTGCTTATGTATTGCTATGTTGTCTGTCCAGCAGGGGACAGACTGAAGTCCCCCATAAGGATCAGGGCTTGTGTCTCTAGAGGGCCTTATACTCTCAGTCTTTCTGGTCAGGTGCCTTATAGCAGATCCCCAATCTAAGGTAAATTGTCACTGCCCTCCCTTTCATTCTGACTCAAACTCTCAGTCAGCTTCCCCTCCATCCCCAGGTGGAGTTCCATGGACTTCAGCTGGTCACTGAATAAGAGGGTGACACCCTCTCCTCTTCTCCCCTGCCCGTCCTTCCTAAAGAGCTTGTACCCATCCATTCCAATGCTCCAGTCATAGAAGTAATCTGACCACATCTCAGTGATGGGTGGGGCTAACATCATAGCCCTGCAGTCATGCATAGGTCTGTAACTCCTCTTATTTGTTCCCCATGTTATGTACAGACTCATTTAAGTTGGGACCCCACTGAAGCTGTCTTCCTGGCTGGGATTACATTCTCCTGCATTTTGTGTGTCATCCTGCTGGCCTGTGATCCTTCTCCAGGCCCAGGGAATCTGTAACTGGCACTAACCTCAAATATCAATGTGTAGAGCAAAATAATAGATTCAGAAAACATTAAAATTCTTACCAAGCAGTTAAGAGTGTAATGGAAAGTGAAAAAAATTTAAAATAAAACAGCACAGGTAAACATACCATCAGAAGCACCTAAAATTCTTTACATTTTCCCCAAAGACACTCTCTCATTGTCTAAGATTATCTGGCTTATAACTTTGAATTGATGGCTCATTATAAAGAGCAACAGCAGAATTTTTCCCTGAGTCCCCACATCTCTGAAATTGTATCAATTTCAGAAATCCATTCCCAGTTTTCATAATTCTCCCTCCAAATAATCACATATGTTTACTATATTTTTGGCAGGAAATGGAGTGAAATGAGCACATCCCCTGTGTAACACTGCCTTCAAACTTCATGACACATGGTAGGTCTGATGAGATACCAGGCCTCATCAGAGCAGTTTGTCCTTCCTGTAATTAAAATGATCTATGCATACACAAGCAAGGTGATCCAGAAGGGAGGAACTGGCCTCTAGACAGGATTTGGATTAATAATAATGTTCAGGAGTACAAAGCAAGTAAAATAGTAAAGAGAAAGTTAAAACTATTCATGCTGCAATTATAGTGGCCAAGAGAAAAATTAAATTATATGCAGAGAAGCCTAAGTCTCCAATTACCTACAAATGAGAAGCTGTAAAGTTCCCAAGTCTGAACACAACAGAAAAAAAAACCTCCTAATACCTCACGAGCAGCTCCAAACCGTACTGCAGGGAAATGGTTCTATATGCTCACAATGTATTTTCTGTATCTTTCTCCTTCCTTTGTTACCAAGAGCATTTTCACAAGAAAACATGACCTTTGATCAGTTCGGTGCTTATTCTCTGCTGGAAATCAAATTCCTCCACCTACAAAATCACAGTCACCACCAGAGAGGTGCCAGCCACGCTTCTCACTCACAGAAGGTGTGAGAGTGTTAGAGTACAAAAATTCAGTTGACATGCAAGTGACCCTTGTAATAAAAAAGGAAAGGAGGAGCATAGGACACATGAGGGTGGGGATAGAAAAAGCAGAGTTTTTCCAGCAAGTGTGATTTTCAAAAAATGCGATGAGGTGGCATTTATGGAACAAGCTGCCCTGCTTTTGGCTTTAAAACAACAGTTGGATCTCTCTACTCATGCATAATGCAGACAAGATACAATCTGTTTCTCCGTGCCACGAATCTCTTCACCCACTGACTAATCTGAATGACACCAGTGGAAATCAGCCATCCAGTGTGGCTGCCAAAACTATGAGAGTTTCACTGGCAGCCAGTTATTGAGATGGATAAATTATTTGGTTAGAAACTAATTACACACAGCCTGAGGGGCCCTGCAGTTTGTACTCTGTACAACAATGAAGAAAAATGGGGCTTGGCTCCACTGAGATCAGAAATCTGAAGTGCTGGATTGACTGTGGATCCAAGCCTCTCCTCACTGATGAAGAAACACTTCTGGGGGTATGAGAGTGGCCAACCTCAGCATCTCATCAGCTGGCAAACTGAACTACTACTGAATTAAACCCTGACCCACCTAAAGGCTATACAAAGTCTGGAATACAGGCCAAACTATCACACACTCTTCATATCAGGCAAGAATTAGAAATAAATAAGCAAGCAAATACACACTTGAGGAGGGTTTGAAGGACAGATACAAAACCAGAAGCATTTTGAGCTTACACAGATTTAGCTAAGTCCCTAAAAAAATTCACTAGAGCCACTCTTCTTATTTTACTGTGATACTCATCTGTTTTTTTCTTTTCTGCATCTTCTCTGAATAGTCAGGATTTTAGTAACAGAAATGTATAAATATACTTGGCTTCCTATGCAAGAAGGCAGGCTAAGGAGCCAAATTTTTTTTTAAATACACATTTGGTATTAAAAATAGAAACTTGCTTCAATTTGGTCTATCCACAAACAAGCTTCACCATCTCATGTAGAAATAAAACTCCGCGTTCCTCCAAGTAAAACGCTTGCATCTGTTACTAAACACATCTGTTTCTCTGCTTGATTTCCATTCATTATGGCTTACCACTACAAGTCCTGTTGTCAGAGTTCAAGGAATAGTGAGCTGGGCATCCACAGACAAACCCACCAACAGGGACTGCCAGGCACAGGTGAGAGCAGTGACCATTGCTCGAAGCACACTCATTCCAGCCTGCCTGCCTGGAGGAATGAAAGACCAAGATGTCCATAACATAATCCAAATGTCCTTGGATGATAGTTCGGTTCTGGCCACTGGTCTTGTTGGCTCGTTCAATGCTGCGCCGGCTCCAGTCTGTCCAATAAATGTAATCCTGGTACTGCGTCAAGCCAAAGGGGTGAGGCAAGTCATCAGCTATAATCTCACGGTCAAGGCCTGTTCCAAAGGAGAGAAAGAGCAGAATTACATGGAGACAAATGGGACACTGTTTAACACGGAAATGTTAACACATAATGCAAGTTACTAGAAGTAACAAACAAAAAGTAATTTACAAAAGTAAATTATAAACTCACGTATAATATTCAACATATCCTGAAGTCTCAGAGCTTATCACAGAAATGTGCTAATCCTGAGATTCACAGAAGAGAATGTGTTTTACTAAAAGAGAAAGTCTCTTTGAAAATTATCAGGGTTCTCAGATTCCGTCTTTCCCTTCTCTCTGAAAAAAACAGTTTCCCTCTGAAGTAGATGCAGGATCCTGAGACTGTATGCCCAGTTCAGCATCTCACACAACATTTGGCTCTCTACCTGCTGCTTACAGAGAGAGAATTATGAGCTTGTAACAAATTCTAAATTGTATTGTGGGAAAGTTTAAATGCACAAGGTTAAACTAACCTGTTTCTAGAATGCTGTAAGAGGAAGGAGTAATCAGAAATTCTAGGTAGGAAACAGTTAATTGTGTATACTATGGAAATGTTAAAAGGCCTTAAGAAGCAGGGCATGAGAGGGGATATTACTTCAACCATGTCATTTCAACCACTTCATCACCACAGGGTGTCCTGCTGTCTAGTCACAGAAAAAGAATGGGAGATTATGCAGCAAGAAGTCATTCCCTCTTTGCATAGAGAAGATGAAGGTGCACAGCCCTGCATTCTGACATCACTAGCCACAGGGAAGACAAAATTCTAATGCTGTGTCCAGTTTCACGGTACACAGCGGAACGCTGAGCTAGCCTCAAGTGCACACCAAAATACATAAGAGAGGCTTTTATATTACATATAATTCCTATAATGCATTTTTCTGTTTTGATATTTTTCTAGCTTTGTTCCACTATTGCAAACATACTGTTTAAAGTAGACTATCTCCTTTAGCCTTAAATATTGGCTAGTGAACACTAATCTGAAAAATCTGGAATACAAGGCAGTCTACTCCTGTGGGTGCCAAGAAGTTAAAAAAAAGATATTGTGCAAATCTGAGAGGGCTTAGGTCCTCACTACACCACCTGGGGACAGGGAAAGAATAAAACATTCTACCTCCATTTAGCTGTAATGACCAGTTAATAAAAAAAAAATAAATTCACACAGACCCCACTGTGAGAGAGAGCCCCACTGGTGACCAGTACTAGCCAGGAAAAGATCCGTAGTGTACAGGATGCTAGGGAAAAAAAAATGCCTGAACCCTAAGGCAACAAAGATTAAAAACCAAACGGTATTAAAATACATTGTGAAAAATGTCCAATAAGCTGTTTTCTTAGCTTTCTCTCTACCTTTCTACAGATGATGAAGTGTTTGTTAGGTATCTGCCAGTGCTCTTCAGAGCAGCAAAACAAGACTTAAAACCACTGAAAGCTGACAGGGTTGTCCTACATATAACTGAAAACATGTACAGTTTGTATAATTCTAACTTGTGAGCAACTATATCACCTACAAGGAAGTCGAGGCCTCACTACATGCTGTGTTGCATAAACATCAATTCTAGAGGCAAATGTTAAACACATGCGAGTTTCTAAAAATCTATTTTCGTCTTAAGATACGTATCTTGGCGATATTGAAGCAATAATTTACCACGGGGAAGTGTGAAAAAGCAGTAGCATCCCCACAGCACTGCCCAGAGCTCTGAGGCTCACCTAGCATGTTGGAGGATTCTATCAGGTTGGTATCGAGGTCGGTCCAGTACAGTCGTCTTTTGGCGTAGTCAATGGTTAGGCCGTTGGCACGTCCCACGTTCGGTACCAAAGTTGTCCGCTCAGTGCCGTCCATAGCAGCTCTATCAATCTTTGGTTTACCACCCCATTCAGTCCAGTACATAAATCTGATTAAAAGGACAAAAGAAAACAAACAAACAAAAAACCTCACACTTATCCAAAGAAAAACTCACAGGGAAAAAGAAAACAAAAATCCTTAGAAAGAGTAAGAGAGAAAAACAAGAGCTGTAAATCTGAGCATTTATTAAGCCCTTTTACAGCTAATGTTTTTTCAAAATAGAAGCAATGAAGCAAGACAAGTTTTCTCCAAATGCTTCCAACATTATTTTTTCCACTTGGAGCTGGAATTTCACCTGTAAGTGCTGCATAAAAGCATTTCCAATCTTAACTAATATACATGCATCAGTTAAGAGGGAAAAGTTTGGTAGCCGGGCACCTTCCTTTACACCTGGTTATCTAGCAAGGTATTTTCCATGGCATTTAGCTTCTGTTTCTATTCAACTGTCCATCAAACGAAGGACCACGAACAGGTTGATATGCAGGGTACTTTTGTTAATAGGTGCCTCTGCTCATCTCCACAAAACCAAGTCAACCAGCCATGTAACAGCATGTTATATTTCAGCCAAGGGCAGAGAAACACAAACTGTACCACGTTTCCACTGGAGTAAAAGTATGAACTGTTACACAGTCACATGCCAGATTATGCCTCCCTTGGAAGAAGCACAGACTTTCACATGTTACGTTTTCTTTAGGCACTGTAGAGGGCTGTATATTTGTCATTTGGTGTCAAGTAGTTAGTTGCTGCTTCCAAAATGTAGAGCCAATACCATTTTAAAAATGAGTCATAGCAGGCCAAGGTTTATGATTTTATCCTTTAATACCTCTAATAACAAACACCTGCAAAATGCTTTGCATTTCAACCAACAACACAGTGGGAAAGGTTATTTTAGAAACGGATAACTGGGGGGAGCTACTCTTTAGACAATAGAAATACTTGCAATTTTTTCTTAAAAAATTTCCAAGTATTTTATGCATGATTTTTGCGAGTTGTACACAGCATGGCCCTAAGTGTTAGAATTGCCCCCATGGTTGCACTGCCATGAGAATTTCCCCATAAAGTACAACATGGCTCAGCTATAAGACAAAAGGAAAAACAGACATTTGGGCTTAAAACTAAAGTAAAATTTTTTTTTGGTCTGTGGTGAAGAGACAAAGCACTGAATTGCAGTAATCCTCGGGAACAAAAACTTACTCCCTCTGTAAAATTAGAATAATCCATAGCAACCTTTTGTTACAACTGGACAACTGGATCCAACAACCTGGTCTTGGATACCCTCTGATGTACTTGTCCAGGCAATCCCTGGCATGTCAGGGCTGAACCCCATCTACACGTCCTACTGGGGGCAGTGCAGAACCCTGTTCGACTAAGCTCTGCCACAGTTGGAATGAAGCAGGAGGAATGTGTTCAAGTGCTGCAGACTTCTCTACATTGCTGTAACTCCTGCAGTGTCACTGGAAATGTGATGATTTCATAACACTTGAAAACAAAGTTCCCTTGTTTGTAAAATAAGAATAACATAATGCTGTTATAATCTCAAAAAGGCTTTGCAGTAATTAGTCAATATCAAATAAGCATTTCATGGTAGAACTATTTCAGAAGCTAAATAGTTTTGCCTTGCCTTGCTCCTTCCTGCCTACCCCTGCTGACTGCCCTACTTTTGCTATTACATTTGAATCCAACTAGGAAGTTTCTTCTCAGTAAATCTTTCAATCTGGTGATAGGTGGGCATAATTGTTTCTACTCTTTCTCTGTCCTTGTATCCCTTGTCCATATCAAGAAAAAAAGCTCCCTTATCTGAAGAAACAAACACCTTCCTTATTCTCAGACAATAAACTTCACTCCCCCACTCTCAAGTAAAATAATTTAATACCTTTATTGGATCCTAACTTGTGGTAAAAAGTATCTTCATTTGTAGAGGACAAATATTTTCTCTTCAATGTTATAGTTCTTTTCTATTAACTATTTCCATAAACCTAAAACTTCTTTGATTCTGTGGTTAATTAAAAAAATAAATATAAAGCTCTTTTTAACGAGCTGCTCAGATAAATTTTTTTTTGTAGTATTCTTAATGATTATTCAGAATGTTGAGAGCATATTCCTCCAACCTTCACACTCTAAATTACCAGGTTGTATTCCCCAGCTCAATTCTCTCAGGATTCACATGCAGTGCCTAACTAACATGCCCTAGAGGAAGAATTATGATGTTGTTTTTCACCATTCATGAACATCAAATTATATCAGCAAGTTACCCCTCAGCAGGATCCAATGCCAATGCCCGGGGACTGTCGAGATCTTTCCACACCAGCACTTGGCGATGCTGCCCATCCAGCTTTGACACTTCTATACGATTGGTTCCAGTATCAGCCCAGTACAAGTTCTTCCCCAGCCAATCTACAGCCATGCCTTCTGGGTAATCCAAGCCAAACTCCACAACATGCTCCAGTGCACTGCCATTCATAAACGCTCTGCTGATGGTCTGCAGGGATACAAAGATACACAGGCAAATTAGAAATTTTACCAGTCTGTCATTGGGCTGGTTGTCTTCTTTGTTGCATTTTAAACACTTTCAGATTTTAGGCATCTCATAGGAAAGAGCATCTTACAATATGCTACTTATTTGCAAGGCGAACAATGATGCTATTCAGAAGTAATGATTTACTGTACTCTATGAATCTATTCTGTGTCAATTACAATACCATTTCACTGGGCAAATAAATGGGATAACTAATCGGGTTCAATTAAGCAGTCTACATGCTAAAGTGACCTTAATAACTCAGTGCCAGCTTCGAGGGGGAAATATTTTGGCTCTCCCAGGACTATACAAAAGCATCAATGTTAACAGCACAGAACAATATTTAAAGCAGCCTCATGAAAAAGTTCAGGACAAAACAGCACATAGAAGAAAACAATCCAACAACCTATTAGCTCAGTAGCGTGAGTGCTTAAATACTGATGATTAAATTTAATTTCACTAAGCAAAATTTCTTCTTGGTCCTTTATTCAAAAGACTTCTTTTAACTCTTGCCATCACAGATCAGCCTATAATAGCAGATACAGCCAGAAGTATATTTTAATAATATATCAGAGTTTAGGCATTCCCTGATTTACTATGACCACTTAAAAGCCTGAAAATAAAGGAATAACCTTAGGATGGTATAATATTCTTTTTGGCAAACATGGGATTGTTTTCTGTGTCCTTAATACTCCTCTCCACACACACTCCTCATACCCATAACCCATCAGAAATTAACACAAGGCCTGATTTTCTATTTGTTTACTTCCAAGTTTGGATTCTACCCATTAATTATGCCAGTTTGTGACAGTACACATCAGGGAGTCTGTATCTCAGTCTTTATCTGTATCACTCTTAAAAACTGATCAGATAATTGCTTTATTTTTATTTCAAACACTTTTCAAACAACAGCCATGCCTAAAAAGTTCCGCCTATCTTAATTTTTAACTCATGATTCTTCATAAAAACTCTGCCTTTTTAACTTTTATGACTCTTCAGTTGCAAAGGTACATGATATTGTTGACACTGGTCTCAACCCAAATGCAAAAAATATTTATTTTAATAAAAATTGATTATTGGTGCTCACAATCCTGACTACATCTACAACCCATGAAAAACAGAAAGGATAACTAGACTCACTGATAATGGAGATAACAGACAATACACAAATTTCCATCACTCATTTAACCAAGACATTTAAATACCTATCTTCAATCTTTTCTGATTCATCAGTTTAGACCCTAGAACTGTTTTACAAAGCCTGTGGTTCATAACAGGTCTCACATGCAGTAGCTGTATAAATTAAGCAATAGGTAAGACTCATTTTCACTTCCTGACCCAAGAGCAGGCTTTCTCCATTAAATATATCTGACAGAACATTTGTGATCCCCAAAACCTTCTGCCATACAGCATTCTTCTCTGTTTGCAAATCTATCCTTTATGTGAAAATGTATACAACATGACATTATTAATGTCTATTACTATGCATGTACATTATTATTAATGTATACATTAGATATATAAGGAGAGAAGGCTGCTCATGCAACAAAAATGTATGCCATTCTTAGTTAGAACAAGGTCTTTTGCCCATTCCTTGAACCTTATAAATAGCATTTGTTGATGCATTCTTAAGTACCTCAAGAACTTTGTAACAACTTAATAGTCAATATGGTATAAACCTCTACCTTCAGGGAAATGTCAGTCCAGTAAATCCGATTGTCTGTCACATCAAAATCCAGAGCAGAAGCTTCCTTGACTCCAGTGAGTGGAATAGCAACATTGTTGTTGTTGGTTTCTAAAGAAATTCGTCTGATATCTGCTCTCCGAGAAAACAGCAGAAAAGCTTCTGGGACGATGCAGGTCTTCATGTCATTGATGAGCTCCAAGCCTATGGGGCAAGCGCAGCGAAGGCCCTGTGGTCTGTACAGGCAGAGATGGCTGCAGCCACCATTATCCTCTGCACAAGGGTTTGTACCTAAGCATGCAACAGAAGCAAAAAAAAAAATAATCACTGGACACTCACTTCAGCTGGAAGACGAAGCCAGTCCCCACGTGCATTGGTGATGCTATGGATTCTTTGAGAAATACATATAGTTTTTCATCTTTTATTCTCTGAATGAGCTTAGTTTTGTTCATTTCCTGCAATCTTTTAGAAAGGTGTTTGTCTGCATGGCTGGAAAGTCAGCACTTGTTTTCCTGACCTTATGAAACAAACCCAGCAGTGAGGAAAGGGACCCAGACTCCCAACAGCTCCCAGTTCACAATAGAAACACAAAATGAACGTTAACTACCTAAGTAAACAAGCATATGTTCTGCTGCCTTCTGCAGTGCTCTCATTTTGTTACATCCCACAGTGGTGTTCCTAGAGACGGAAAATTTGCAGATCTATTTTTATATCCATTCAACAGTCTCTTCTCTCCAGAATGCTAGTAAAGCAGCTCTTTCCACTGTTAACAGTGTCCCTGCACATGGTGGAAATCCATGTACTAAGAGAGGCCCAGCACTGCCAAGCTCAATTAGCCAAACAGTTAGAAAGAGAGCTGCACTTAAAATACATGTACCTTAGGGCATCTTGTTAATGTGGCAGCAGCAATGCAAAGATACACCTCAACCACATTTGATTAACTCCCTGGGGTACAATCCAGACATGGCAGCAAGAAGCTGCAAGCCCTATCCATATGGCAGACTATCCAACGAATGTGATGAGTTCTCTGCATGCCACAGTCACACTGCTACCAGTGTTTGCATAGCCAACAGTAGTAAATTTAAAGCTAGATCCTGCATCTTTACACTGCAGGACAGGAAGTACTTCTAGTTACTTTAAAATATGGTTTTGCAGTATTAACTTGAAAAGCACTGAACAGAACTGGTTAATTCCTAGCTTTTGCATACCAGGTGCACATGTTCAGATTGCAAGATGAAAAGCTGCTACAGCTGCAGCTTCATAAACAGCTGGGCTAATATAATAGCTGGCTGTTACAAAGGAAGATCTCATTTTCCATGATCCTTATTCTCCCCTTACTGGATCAAGGGCTGTTCAGACCTATGAGCTGTTTCAGTTCCCTAAGAAGCAGAAAATTACCCAGTCTGGGGGATGCCTGGTTGTGTTCCAGCTCATGCTTTTCCAAGTTAGAGAACTGAAGCACCTCACAAAGACCTCCCCCCATCACATCAAACTGCAGCTGCAGTTATCATGCAATAAAACTGGATTCTGCCCATTTCTAAAAACCTGACCTGGTATAAAGTGATACCTTTAGAAGAGCACTGCTAGAATTTTCCATTTCATTTCACTTGCCTGATTAGTAGTCTCACTCACCAATTATCTGGTGGACGTTTGTAGCTTTTAGGCCCATTAGATCTGGCAGTTGATCTATGATGATCTCTCTCTCTGCTGTTCGCTTATGCACGCGTTCAATACTGCGTCTTTGCCAGTCTGTCCAATACACGTAGTCTCCCAACAGTGTGAATCCAAAGATATGAGGCAGCTTGTCTTCCACCAGAACTCTTCTCCCAGTTCCATCAGCATTCATGACCTATGGATATACAGACATTTATTATGTACACAGAATAATTCTGTCACTCTTTATCAGAGATTAAATCAATAGCTGCTCCACACTTAGGCTTCAAATTAAAAAATAATCTCCTAGTCATTAAAATGCAATCAATGTCACACAGCACTGTAATAAAAAACCCTCTATATTTCTACAGGTACGTATTCCTAAAGCCATGAAGGATCCCCTGAGTACAAGGCTAGTCTCATGAACAGATCATAAGGTGAAATTATGACACAACATTCCTTACATCGTTTTACACAAATAAACACAAGCTTACAATGTCAAGGAGTCCTGACTCAGCATCTTGTAGACCACAGTCACTTCCAAGTGAGCTTTGCCCAGAGAGCACAAAGAGGAGGCACCACATAAATTCTGGGAGGCAAGCCATCGAGAGAATGTACAGAACACACCTATAGTCTCAAGTCTGAATAAAGAACCAGTTCGACACTGTTCAAAATTAAGTTCAGTATTTTCTGTGCGAGAAGGAACACTAACAGCCTGTAAACAATTGCATGCCTTTGAGATCAAGACACTTGAATTTACCGTGTCAAGTCTCCTCTACTGCTAAAAAGAAGTAATACCTAAGTTCATCAAAGAAGCATGGAGCAGATTAATTAAACATATGTATGCATGTTCAAGTCATCACATATCCTATGAATGCCAAGTATTATTATAATAAAGTACCACAGTGACAGGTGTAAGGAGAGCCCAGTATTTTAAGAAATGCTTAAAAATTATTAAACAATGCAATTTCATAGGAAGGTGCCTTCTGAAACATTTCTGCTTGTTTCAAGTTTCAGATTAAGTTTACAGCATGTATACTATCCTTCCAAAAACAGAGAAAAATCACCAACCTCAATGTAAAAAATTCTCCAAACAATGTGATCATAAAATTCAAGGTAGCACACTAATTCCTTAGTAATAAATAAAACATCCTTCCATCAAAGATGTCACAAGTCACGGACTGGTAAAATTGTGACTTTCTTTATCACTGTTTTCAAATCTCCCTCACTTGTCTTGGTGGAACTAAGATATACATCAGCAAGTTTCTATGATTTCCCGGTCTTCCTGTGGCTCAGACCCAAAGACTTGTGCAATGACAACATTTAAGATCAATTGGTTTAATAACTCCAGTTAAATAGATTATTTTTTTGTGGTCAAAAAAAATTTCTTAGTGCATGAAAAAGGAGAAGGCTAGTTTGGAGCAACTCATATGCAAGCACAGATGGGGAGGGAGGAAAGGAATAGAGAAACAAAACTGAAAGCCATACCTTTCTCAATATACTGTATAACGTGCATGTTAATGAAATATTGTTAAGTTCACTAAAAAAAGCAGAAGAAAATGCTATAATATTCACAGGAACTCAATTTCTCTGTAAACCTATTTCCTGTCATAAATTTCCTGACATTACTGCACTTACTCTCAGTATGTTAGAATGGAAATCGAATCTTTATGTGCACATTTCCTACAGAAAAATCAAAAGGGGCTCTGCCCACTTAGTGGTTTGTAGGAATAAGCCCCACATTTAAAAAAAACCCAAACAAATAAACAAAAAACCCCCACCAACATAACAAACTCATAATTACTCTGTGGAATTGGCTTACGAAAAAGTCTTCAATCTAGTAGCCTTTACAGCACAGTTCTACAAATGCACTAAGACACACACATCACAAAATAAGATACACATTTCTTAGTGAAATGTTTTTTCTCCTTGCATTCTTACTTGCAGCCTTTAGAAAGTCAAGTGCAATACTTGCAGTTTCACTTTGCATTATGGTGCATTTACCATCCTAAATGCTGTAACTTCTGTCCTTTACACTGGTAACCAAATAAAAACATAGGTTTTTGTATCACTGATTGTTTAGCTGGGCACAGAGCCCAGCACAATTGCCTAATTTCTGGACTTCCTTTTGAAAACAAGTCCTGCTATTCCATTTATTCTACTTCATAAATTTTCAGCATTTGCTGGCTCTCTCAGTTCCTAGCAGCATGGCTCCTACATGGCTCTGATAAGTGACAGACTAATGGTTAACTTTAGAACCAGGGACACAGATTTAATATCTGTAAGATTAACTGTGAATTACAGTCCTTAAGCTCTCTATCCCTTCAAGAAACCACCACAACCAATGCTAAGCAAAACTGGTGACCCCCTTCTCTAACTGTGAGTCACTTTGCATTTCTGCAATTACTTGTTTCCCCCCTACCCTAAACTACAGAGATTAGCCATTTGCTTGCTACTAATTAGTATTCATAAATAGCAATTAGTGCTTGCTAAGCAGACCCAACAGATACACAGAATGGATGGTATGTTGCAAAGCAAATGGACTAAAATCATGCAGTAATAACCACCAAAACATCACTATAACAAAGCAGTACCTTTAGATACTACACTTTTTGCCTTGCACTTACTAAAGGAAGAAACTTCTGTATTTAAGAAGTGCTTAACTACTGGCAAAGAGAATTAACTGGAAGGTGCATGGTGTGAGATTAACTTTTTTTGGCTAACTTTAAAAGGGGAGCTGTTCAAATAAGCTTCCTCTTACAATGAAAGTTAGGGAGAAGGGAGGACTTAAGGAATAAGTATCTGTTGTTAATTAATTTTTGTTTTGCCACGTTTGGGTTATTTCGAAAGACAGATTTACATCATGTAGTCAAAACAGATGCATATCTGAAAGCACTTATACCTGCCACCCTACCCCCACTGCAATCTTACCTGACCCCATCTGTGCAATATTACTATCAACAGCTGCTGGGTACCACCATATGAATAGTTCCATAGTACCAAGCTGCCTGCAGTCATTTTGATTGCATTTTGGAAGATTTGAATTGAATTTCATCAATAGGCTACAGAACCAAGGAGTCTGGTGTAAGGTAGAAGCAACAACAGATAAAGGGATGAATGCATATGAAAAACAATCACTAATTGAAATAAATTTCAAAGGATTTAAGCATAATCTTTTCACATACTGAAATTTGGGTGAGAACTGGTTCCCAGCCAATATTGCTTTATACATTCCTTCCCCTTCTCCAGCCTCAGATGGATCAGTTTATCACAGAGAAGCCTATTCCCACTGAACCCCCCCATACAAAAAAACCCCATCTTCTGCTGCTATGAGGGAGCATCTCCAGTGGTTTATGTTGCTTTAACCACAATGTGGTGTGGGTTTCATATTCTGAGGCCATTCTGAATACTGCAAACCACAGTGAGAATACAGACTACAACAGGAAACAGATGTGGTGCAACCACAAACACTACCTTTACTGAAAGAGCGAGTAGTTGCATGAAAAAAAAAGAAAAAGAAACTACAAAAATCAAATGGACTCAGAAAAATTATCAGGTATCCTGCCTGTAGAATAAAGGGTTTGCTTATCATAGGACAATAATGAATGGAAACCTATGGCCTCAAACACAGCTTATGTAAAACAAATTAATTAATGCTGAAAATGTGGTTGTATTTTAAGATGCTGTACCTAATGGTCAACAGGAATAATAAAATAACAATTTTGAAGTATTACTTCTATTACGAAGTTACAGGCTGGATTGCACAGTGATATGTTCTAAGGGTCTGTCTTATTGTCAGATACGCTGAATTCAATTCACTCTTGAATACCAGTAATAACTGTGATAAATAGGCTAATGAAGTGATTCTACCTTTTTCACAATGCAGGATTTGAATGTATGTCAGTTTACAGTTGTAGTTTGATAGCTTTAGGTCTAGAACTCAACCATTATACCTATTCCAAGCTCTCATTAGAGCTCATGCTGGAACCCTGGCAAAGCTATGCAGACTAGCAGTCCACTCAGGTCTAGCAGAGACCAAGAAAAGTGGCAGTAGAGACCAGAGGTACACTAACTTACACCACAGCACTGAGGAATTTCTAATATTAGAAGCGTCTGCCCCTACTGGGCCATACTTAGATCAGTATCAAACATAAAGAGTCCCGGACAGCATGCGGGCTCAAGAAACAACACACTTCCAGATGCAAACCTGAGACTGTCAAACCCAATATGATTGACTCATAATTAACCTAGTGCCATAAGCAGGGTGACAGTGTGCAAACTGTTACTGTCCATCTTTACTCATGAGTACAGTTCAATTTTTTATTCTGTAGAACCAAAGAATCACAGACCAGCCCAGCTTGGATGGGACCTTGAAACATCACCTGGTCCGACCTTTTGTGGGAATGGGAGCCTAGATGAGATTATCTAGCATCCCACTCAGTCACAACTTGAAAACTTCCAGTGATGGGGACTCCACCACAAGTCTTATGTGGAGGTTGTTCCAGCGAATGATTGCTCTCACTGGAAAATACTTCCTTCTTATGAAACCTCTCCCAGTGCAACTTGTATCAGTTGTGCCTGTCCTCTCCATGTGGCTCCTAGTGAAGGAAAAGCCTCCATCCTCCCTGTAGCTTCCCTTTAAGCACTGGAAAACTGCTGGAGGGGTCCTCCCTGAGCTGTCTCTTCTCCAAGGAGAAAAGACTTAACTCCTGCAATCTTTCCTCACAGGACAGGTTCTCCAGCTCTTTGGTCATCTTTGTTGCTCTCCTCTGGGTGCTCTCCACTCTGCATCTTTTTGAATTGTGGGGACCAGAGCTGGACGCCACACTCTAGGTGCAGCCTAACAAGCGTTAAAGAAATCATGGAATTGTCAGAGTTGGAAAAGACCTCTACAGATCATTTAGTCCAAGCAGGATCACCTGGAGCACATTACACAGGACTGCATCCAGGTGGGTTTTTAGTATCTCCAGAGAAGGGGACTTCACAACCCCCTGGGCAGCCTGTTCTGGTGCTCTGTCACCCTCATAGTAAAGAAGTTTTCCTCATATTTAAATGGAGCTTCCTATGTTCCAGCTTGTGCCTGTTGCCCCTCATCCTATCACTGGGAACTACTGAAAAGAGTCTTGCTACATCCTCCTTGCACCTACCCTTTAGATACTTCTAGGCATTAATAAGGTCTCCCCTCAGCCTTCCTTT